TTCGAGAACTTCTTCGCTTCGTAACTTCTGAACCTTTTCCCGCGTCTTGTCCTTGTACCCGAATACCTTTTCAAGCCTCCTCAACGGGAGCGAATCGCCGAAACGCGGTTACTCCGGTTCCCACGACGAAGTCTTCAGGTAAAACTCGCTGGTTTACCGAAGGAACAGAGGACCCACGTCGCTTGACCAAGCCTTTTCAATTTCATACTGCTAAAATTAGCCAAATTTATCATACCGATGGAATGTCTCGATACCACATACCTATCAAATGCTCGAGCAGTCGTGAAATTAGACTGATAAATTCCGATTGATTGTTGCGTTTATTTATTTCTCTCGCTTTTTATCTATTGCGTATACGGAAAAAATTAGCCAACATAGCTTTTTAATTATCCCTATATGTTACAACCTGAAATTTAATTATCATGCTCATAAATTTTAGTAATATTTTACTAATATTCTTTAGCTATAGAATTCTACAGCTAAAAAATATTAGCTGTCATATAACTAAACTAAATTTCATGTAATATATAGAGACAGCAAAAATGTAGCTATAATAGGTAATTTTTTTCCGCGATAATTACAATTATATTACATATATTGGATACGTCGAAAGGGTTAATGAAACGGTACGCAGAAATTCTGCTGGTGACCGGAACGGATCGTTTCTCTCTCGCCGCTTGTTCCACAGCTCCAGGCTCCGGCGCGAGCGGAAGGAGCGGAAACGACCCTAAGTACGACAAATTGTGAAAGTAATGGACAGTTAATGCGGTGTCTTACAAGGTGAATGAAAGCTTCTCGCGTGACGCGCGATCGGCTCTAAATCATGTAATACACGAGCGTTATCTGCGCAGTAGCTGTTAGTCGGCGGACGACAATATGCGACAATGAAACGGGTCGCGACCAGAATTTCATTATGCCATATCGGGAGCTTGTCGCCGAACACGCTCTTTTATCTTTGTGGGACGGAATATGTTTTCGTTCGCTTCATTACGTTTAACTGTCGCATTTGTGCACTCGACGAGTTTATATTAACGACTGATAGCATATTGGACTCGGTTGCAGCGAGAATTTGAAAGGCGCCTCGTCGAACATTTATTCGCTATGCAAAATATCGATATATAGTTATATGTCGGTCGCAGATAAAAATATATTTTACGCGCGACCTTACGAAAAAATTAGCCATTATATGTATATAGTTAAATTTTAGCCATATCATTCTCCATTAAACTATAACTATAAAAATATATTAGTTGCCATAGCTAAAATTTAAATCTAATAACTAATATTTTTAGCTACAGTTTAACGAAGAATTCTATAGCTAAAAATATTAGCTAGCTAGATAACTAAATTTTAGGTTGTAATACATAGGGACAGCTAAAAGCTATGGTGGCTAATTTTTATTTTCCGTGCTATTATTGTTACTTCGTAGAACACAAATATACGCAACTTTTCTTGTAGAATTTTTTTCTTGAAATTTTTTCCTGTTTTTCGAGTAATTACACAACGTAATTAAACGAACTGTTGCAACCTGCGTATGCATTACACTGCGGTTACGCGACTGCAGTGTGCATTATATGGACCAAAGCCAGTATGTTAAAACATAGAGGGGAGAGAAGAGTTTATGCTTGACGCTTTGTATATTGCTACGCTTTTGTGCAAAGACATTTGGTATATTAATTGCTGCGACGACCCTCGTCTCTCTCATCTCCTGTCACAAGTGCAAGCCGCGCTGTTTTTACGGCCATTTAAGATCGCTAATTTTAACTCGGTGTATTTTTTCGCCGCGCCCTGCGACCGCAAAGTGCGAATATATACGGATATATATGTATGTGTGTATAAGTCTGTTGTGCGACAGGCAGGAATATTTCGCGCATCGACAGGCAGAATTTAATAGAATCGGCTTAATCCGACGCGCTGCCGTGGCGTTTGTGCGTTCGCTTATACCTGTCAATAAACCGCGGAATGGAATCACATATATACACACATTGCATTGTATTTCTCTATTCGTTACATTGAATTCAATACGTTCCTCTCGCTAGAAAGCGCGGACGTGTTCGCGGTTGTACGATGCAGCTTGATGTAAATGATGCGTAAGTAGCGCGATTTCCACGCATTAAAGTCCCGTATTCGACGCGTATTTTGTTTTATTGAACGTGCACGCGTGTATCGCAAACTATAGTTACGGTGACTAGATTTTCTAAGAGAAGATAAAAAACAAATTTGAAAATTTTAGGACTTTGTTTCAATATATTTCCAAATCGGTTTGCCAAAGTGGAGGTCGATATAAAAAAAAATAATAATTTTGTAATTATCAGAAGTCTACGTTCTTATTCTTATAGTTTGAAACTGATTCGACTGTGTTGAAATAAGCCCTTGATATCTTAAATAGATTCCGGATATATAAAATCTTTTATATAAAATTATGGTAATTAATTAGAAGACAATATGTTATTGAAAGAATTTTATTAGAATTTCTCTGATTAATCTTTACCACAATAAAAAAATATTAAGTTCGATTAATTTTACTACATATGTACATATATTAATATTGTTTATTTATTGTGGTAAATATTAATCAGAAAAACTCGTATAAAATTTTTCCAATACCATATTGTCCCACGATTACTATAATTTTTAGGGTAAATTCTAAGAGCAAATTCTCTTCATGTATAAATTATCTTGTTAATACTACAACATTAGGTAATAAATTAAATAATATACATAAAATACATTAAATAAAAATAAAAGGATAAAATTTTTAAAATATAGGAGGACAAAATTGAGTCTTGGAAAAATCTAAAGGACAACTATTTGAAATAAATCCTCTAAAATAAAAGACAGATAGTCGTAACTATTCATATAAAATTGATATAATGTAATGTGTTAGAATTAGTGTTAGTATGAACTAGATTCAATCTCTACAAACTCGTTATATCATGTTCATAATGTGATTATTAATTACACGCGCCTCGGTTATTACTCTTTGATAGTATCGAAGATGCTATAATTCGATTGTGTCGAAGAGTTCAGTCTTATCACTTTGTGAGAATCCCCGCCCCTAAAATTCGATTGTTCGGAAGGAGTAACTACGATCGATACGTCTAGTCGTCGTTACGTAAATCGTTCGGCGAAGTTTTGTTTTCTGTAGTATATATATATATATATATTGTATTCTCGACCACAATTTCCTTCGTTACGCTTATCGGTAAAACACGGAGCTATCATATACACGCAACAGCTGCGGCGCATCTATGTGCTGGTAAATTGAAACGCTGAAACTATTCGTCTTCACATATTACAAATGAGTCACGTATTTTCTTATTATTGGAAATATCGCTGCTTTCCTACATCTTATAAATTCCTTTTGTTTTATAATTATTCAGTGTACATTTATCACAAAGGGGGAAAGAAAGAGCGTTTAATGAATATTAATAATAAAAAAATTACCGCGATATACACACGATAAGGAAGCTTGCGTGGGTATTTGTGATACGTTCGCCGACCTTGGATGAAACTTCATCGAGTCCACGATGACTCATTTCATGGTGCCTGGTACTCCAGGAAATTACGTGGTGTATCACCAGAGTTGATAACAATTTACGACATATCTCGTGGCTAAGTCATAGTGCAACCGAACTTGTATGTTTAGCAATGCGTCAAAAATAAAATTCGTTTCTCACTCAAGCTCATAATCAGGCTAACAAACTGTAACAGGAAGCTGCGAATGCGTTGTAAGACAAGCAAGTGGTTTCTCTATCAAATTTATTTAAAATATTTACAAAAATATTAAATTATTTACTTAAAAAATTGTTATAAATATTTACTATAAGTTTATTATACAGAGAGAATTTTCCCTCAATATGGTATTGGAAAAATTTTAGAAGAATTTCTCTGATTAATATTTATTACAATAAGAAATTAATATCTACCACAATAAGATAAAACATATATTTAATTAATTTTACCATGTACATAATAAAATTAATTATGTACATATTAATATTTTTTATTGTGGTAAATATTAATCAGAGAAACTCTTATAAAATTTTTCGAATACCATATTGTCCCACGATTACTATGATTTTTTAGAGTAATTCTAAGAAAAATTCTCTCCGTGTAAGAATTTAATAAATTCTATCAAAGAAATATACAAATTGTATATTTATTAAACTATTTTATTTATTTATACTATATTAAATGGAATAAATTTTCCACAATAATAAATATGTAAAAGAATGAAATATAAATAATGTAATAATGTATCGACGCAGTCACCAAGCTTTTTGACAACATTCGTTGACGATTTTTGCTGAAATGCGCACATATCGGAGATACCGATAGTAAATATTTCCACGATGCGATGAGTAATGTCGCGACGCTTTGCCGTCGTACCTTGCGTGCGACGCCAGGCATCGGTCTAGGCGTCGCGGCGCCTTTGCCTCTTCGTACCCTCCTGTCATAGGGACGGGGCCAGCGAAGGTAACTACAACCACGTGTATTTATCTGTGAGCCGCGAGCAAGTTCGTTGTTGTATGCGAAGCGGTTCTATTTCAACCCTCCTTTATCCCCTTTCTCCTTTCATGGTTTTAGATGCGTGTATGTAACGCGTATAATGTATGCGTAGGATTTTATAATTCGGACTCTCGCGGGCTTTTTTTCTTTTTTTTTTTTTTTTTATTTATTATATACGAGGGTGAGGCGTTTCGTCGAAGACGAACACGCCCGTTCATTCCATGAGATCGAAATTAGAATATAATTCTGGATTCAAAGAATACAGTAAAACTTCCTTCGTTCCCTCTTTGTTATGCTAATGACAATTAACTATTACATGCTGCTACTGAAATGCTAAAGTAAAAAGTATTGATTGCATTAATTTCTGACGTTTCAGTTCTACTGTTACTCTTTGAGGGTCAAAATTAAATTTTGTATTGATATTTTCATTTTTCTCTACACATACAATAAATCACAAATTTAATAAAATTTTTTTTACTTTTTTCCAGCGGGCTGAACTTCCAAGATTTGATGGCTAGGCAAGGCGCAATTGACTCGCCACCGAAAACTCCGTTTATCATGGGCTCCGAGTGCGCGGGTGACATCGAGCAAGTCGGCGAAGGAGTCGAGAACTTCAAAGTGAGTATAAGAGCACGAAACTTTCAACAAATCTGATTACGAGTAAGCTTAAATTGTAAACAAGTTTGCATCTCTAAGTTCCATGTATATTCGCAATTTTATTATAAAATGTATCGAATTATAAGACCCCCATCACTACATATATATAGTTATTTTCTTCCTCTATTCTCTCTTTATTGAAATAGAAATAGATTTTTAAAGAAAATGAATGCAAACAATGTCGAATACTATTGATAATTTTTTAAATTGCACATGACAGAAGCTAGAGTCGTCGAAACGTGTAGATGGAATATAACTGAATTGCGCAAGGCGTAAGCTTCCTTCGATTTGATTGAATAAATTTTCCTCTATAGGCTTAATGGAGAGCTAGAAGCTCTGCCTAGTGAACGCTATCTACATAGTAACGCACTAATCCAATTCAGTTGGATGATGGAGCTACCTTGATTATTAAAATAGCGGTTCTATATCGATTTTCAGCTTTGACGTTACATTCGGCTTGATGTTTTGAAAGCTCTTGAAACGCGTCCTTATAGCCAAAATGGTGCTATAAATAAAACGAGAAGCCACTTTTTTTCCTCGCCGCGAATTTTTCATACCCGTTATTGAGCGTCTTTACGTCAGAAAAATGCGCAGAAGTCTTCGTGCTCCTTGATAAAGTACCACGAGGCTATATATAAGGATCTTGTTATCATATTTAACATGTTCATGCCTCCTGGTGTAGATCCGCGGAATTTCTTTATGGCTGACTATGGGGCGTCACCGTGTGGAATAGCTTGTACACTTAGGGTGGTCTATTTTCGTGACTCGCAAAAGTCTTTTTGGGGTCAGAAGGAGGTAGGCAGAGAGGCGAGTTTTCCAGGCGTCTTTAGGGTCAGATATCCGGCCAGTGTGTATAAAACTGGCCGCCTTGCTTTACCAGAAAGAGGAAGAGAGGAGGAGGAAAGCGTTCCCTTCGAGCATACGGATCGGAAGTAATAACAGTTTGCTCCTGCCTCTGCTTCTGCTTGCTAAAACGGATGTGTTGTAGCGAGAAGCCTAATTCGATAAAGCGACTCACTGTCTTTACGAAGAGGGGGACCAAGTGTAAAATCCCTACACCTTTTTCATCTATATAATAATCCAGACTCACAGGAGTTACATTTAGAGTAGCTTAAAGTATTACACATTTCCTAAAAAAAATAAATAAATAAAAATAGTTTATTAATTTAAACTTAGACAAGGTTTAGTGTCTTTATAAAAAGGATTAAAACATTTCATCCCCTCTTAATGTCGGTCCTTTGAATATGCTTGCGTTTTAAATGGAAAAGAAAATTTCTGATTTATAGCATATATAGTGTAAAATATTGTTTTGACACTGTTGAGAAAATAATGGCTTTTTTTAACAGGTGGGTGATAGGGTGGTCGCCCTTCCCGATCACAAAGCATGGGCGGAGCTGGTCACCGTCCCGGCAACATCCGTTTTCGCGCTACCACCCGGAATGAGCTACCTTGATGCGGCCGCTATCACCATGAACTATACCGTAGCGTATATTCTGCTTTTCGAGCTGGCCCATCTCACTCCCGGAAAGAGCTTGCTGCTTCACAGCGCCGGCGGCGGTGTGGTAAGATGACCAATTTTTCTTTTATATTTGTATTTCCATCGTGGAAAAAACGAAGGGGATGAACGGAAGAAAGGATGAGAGGAAGAAACGTGGAATCGCTCTCCGGAAAGATAGGAGGAGAGTACATGATGAATTGTATTTTTTAATTACACTCTCCGCACAATATTATATCCTCAATCATGAAGGATTTAATGTGCTTATGGGTGTATCGTAATTATTAAGTTCGATTATGCGCGATGCGATATTTCTTTTTTTTTAATTCTTCCTTTCCTTCTCTTCTTTCTCTTCTTTATTGCGAATGCAGTATTAAAGATAGAGCCGTTATGATCAATCGTCTGCGATGCATAGGATTTTTTAATCATATCTCCTCTTTAAAATTGCCTGCAATCTTTATCATAAAGATTCCATTCGTTTAAAGATATCGTAATTATGTATTACGTTCAACTATAAAAATGGATTGAGCATTTTAACAATATCTTTTTATGCGATATTAACAGCTACTTCTTGTACAAAATGCACGATATATATTTTATTAACTTTATATTGTACATATTTTTAGTATCTATTTACTTATATATATTTATTGTGCGCGTGATTGTATTAAATTTTATGGCACAATGCTCGGCACGATAATAATGTTGAATTCCACAGCGCGATTTATCGTATAAAATAATAGTTGTTAATGCAAACAGAATGTAAACGGATAAAATTATGCCTTTTATGCACAATAGTGTTTAACCAACAATAACGCGACTCCGCGAAGGAACGCTTTCGCGGAGTTTGGACAGCTTTACCGTAGTACATACCATGTGCATGTGCATAAACGAGTTAATGTCTCGCGCATAGACATTTTGCTCATAAACGCAAATAGCCGACGTCTTCGAGGCGTGTTTACGTTATTCGGAACGCACTACAAATCCAATAAGTAGCGGTATTACGGCCGCGGCATCTAAATCGCCGAGAAGCAAACGACATTAACATTATTGCTAGAACCGTTTTATGGGAAACGCTCATATATAAGAGAGGTACGCGGTACTTGTGACATTTGGCTCTAAATTCGTTACGCTACATTTTACGCACGAGAATATAACGGAGCTTTTTATTTTTTTCAACTCTCATGGTCGGATATCAAACAAATTTACCGTAAATTAATCCTTAAAGACCTAAATATAGAACTCTATGCAATAAATATAAATTTACAATTTATAAATCATTATAAACCCCGGTTTTGCCTCCCTCGCGTATTCTTCCCCTGTTAAGTTACACCTCGAAATGAGATTTGCCAAGCTTTATTTACTCGCTCGGGAGAGCAATTTAAATCCTACAAGCCCAAGGCTCGAAAACATTAAATACTTGGCGGGGTGCGAATGTTGAAATTTCATATAAGCGACGATAGTTGGACGACTGTTCGTACTTGCGAACCCGAGGGGCAGCGACGGGGGAGATCGAGAAGGTTAAAGGCACCAAGGAGATATTTCCGGGTTCTTCGACCACGCGGAGAAGAGTGGTTTCTCTCTCGGCGGCGAACGCGCGAGGAGAAGCGGAGAAGAAGAAGAAAAAGAAGAACCAGTCGGGATCAATACGGCTCAACAGGTTACACCCGAAACCAACTATACGACTGGCGGCAAACCACCCCTCTCTCTCTTTCTCCACCCTTTCCGTCAGCCGCTTTGCGCCCCCTTTCCTGGACGGTTGAGACGGAAGGCGAAATCTACCGGAGGGGGTTGCGGGACGCGGCAGATCGCACACGGGGGTGTGAGGGTTGCCAGGCAACCTTTCGCTCTCTCATCGACCACCGTCATGGACCGCGCCCGTCTGAGACCATACCACCACCATCACCACCACCATCACCGTCGCCATCACCGGCACGTTACTACCACGTGGCGCGGCTTTAAGCTGTTTTCACACCGGCGTTCTGTGCCCCACGTGTACAACCGGCGTCAACCCGATCGATGCCTCGCTATGGTTTTACGAAACTTTATTCAAAATTACTTCTGCAACAATCCTGCACGGACAGAATTTCTCTTTGAATTTATCTTGAAAATCATGGTAAAAAGAAACGATAAAAATTACGATAAAAATATATATTAATATGTACATTAATCGAACATATTTTATATCTTATTGTGGTAGATATTAATATTTTTATTGTGATAAATATTAATCAGAGATGTTCTTATAAAATTCATCCAATACTACATTGTCCATGATCTTCAGTGTAAATTTTAAATGAAAATTCTTTCTGTGTGGATATACTTTGTTTCAAAGACTCTGCGAAAACGTTCTCTTGCCATGTGAAACGTAATTGTGCTACGCAAAGAAAGAAATACTATTTAAAATCCAAATACGAGATATACTTGAAGAAAAAATATATATTTCTACTACTATTTTATATAAGATAATGCTAATGCGCGAGAGAGTATTCTACGTTTTCGAATGTAGAGCCAAATTTTATCTGCGGTGAGTCTTAACTCTTTTTTTATTAATCTCACTTTATTGCAGTGTCCGTACTTAAAATAGACTAAGGGGCAATAAAAAAGAAATACAAGCGCATATAAAAAGACCGGACTTCATGTCGCTTTTATAAGCCAACTACAATTTTGCGATGTTATCCAAATTAATGGTTGACGCGGTTTAACTGTTTCTTTGTTTCTCTAGTCCTAGCTGTAAAAGAATCGATTAAACGAAGATTAAAGTGGCTGTTGGAAATCTTTACTGTTCATCCTCATACTGAATAATATCAAGTGACAATCGACAATCATTCTTAAGAATTCACGGTATATTTTTAAACGTGTATTCACACGATGTATTTGATGCATCCATCTCTTCACTTCAAGCATATCTGAAAGCTCTTTCGAATATATATCGCGCATACCTTCATAAAGGAGACCCTGAAAGGCGACAGAAAGAAAGAGATATGATGCGATCCCGTTTGAAAGATTCACGAGAAAAGAGGGAAAGTTTCTCCCAACGTGATCAGAAAGCGGTATTTTTCACGAGTCGAGTGCTCTCTTTTTAACCAGGGAGCTTTTCTGCTCTTACGTGACCGGCTTCCCGGGGCTAATGCGCATAGAATCACGCGTAAGTGTTCGCGTTTTCGCGCGGAGACCCATTGTTGTCGGAGAGAGCATGAATTATAACTCCTACGCTATATACATATATACGTTGTCCTTATCCTTAATGTCAAGGGAAGGATGAACGAGGAGCGATATTGTTCTTGCGCGAGTCGCACGGATCGGTTAATATTCATTAAATCATTGTCTACGTGTGATAACAGAACAAAAATTTCCGCTCCGCGAAATACATCGTTAATTAAAATAATCAATGTAAACGTAACATCATTAAAAAAACGTAACTTTCATATAGTATAATACACTTTTTGATTAATCAATATAATTTTATAAATATATATTATTTTATTTATAAATATAATTGATTATAATTAATAAATTTATAATAAATTTTTCAATTAATATTGACAATAGACGCGAAAAATGAAAGCAAAATCTTGGAGAAAAAGGGAGAGAGAAAAGGTGCGATATATTAAGAAATATTTAAAAAATTCCTCGCTTGCATAATTTTCACGCACGCATCTCTCACAGTGCGTAAATAATTTGTTGCTGTTACTTAAAGATTCCGGATTGTCTGTTCTGTCTTTATATGCATATATTTCTTTCTCCCTCTCTTCTTCTGCCTCCCTTGTCTCTCTTTTTTTCTCATTTATATACTCTTCTTCGAGACCGGAGCGCTCGACATCGGTCGCCGGGTATCGAATTCTCGACAAGGGGCGGAGAGAAATGAAAAGCAACGAGCACGCGATTCTCGGAAATAATGTATGCCGCTTCTGTTGAAAATCTCAGACGGCTGTGTGCACGCGGCTCTGTGTGTATTTCTTTTTTCTCCTCTCTTAATCCCGTCTCATCCTTTCTCAAGTCATATACTACTACGAGCGAATGCGCCCCAACGTGAGCCTCTGTAACTGTATTTTCTCGACAAAAAGTAGCTTGCATTGCGAAAAAGGAACGGAAGAAGAGAGGAAGAAAGATAGCATGGATTGGAGTATGTCTTTTAGAATTTTTTTCAGCGAAATGTCAAAAGCGAGCGAACACATATGCGCTATTTCTTTAATACGAATGTCTCGTGATTCTTTATTATTATTATTATATCAAATTTTGATATCGATGAGGAATATCATTTTTCATTCGATTTAGGGTCAAGCGGTGGTTCAGCTTGCGAAAACTGTGAAGGACGTGACCATCTTCGGCGTCTGCAGCAAATCCAAGCACGAAGCACTCAAAAACGCCGGAACTATCGACCACCTTTTGGAACGCGGCACCGATTATAGTAACGAAGTCAGAAAGTACGTACACGATATCGCGCGTGATATGATTACCTGGCCTCTTTAGTGCCTTAATAATAATTTTCAAGAAATTTCAAGATATAATCAAACATCCCAGATAGCAAAATTGGTCGTTCTTACGTCATTTTGACATCAAATTAAGTCAAAACGACGTCAAAATTACTAATTTTGCTACCTGGAAGATAATATTGTATAAAGCCAAACGCTACGTTTTTGTTATTTCTGATTATTTAGAATCTCTCCGGAAGGCGTAGATATCGTCTTAGACTGTTTATGCGGTGAAGAATGTAACAAGGGCTACGCCCTCTTGAAGCCAATGGGCAAGTACATCCTTTATGGATCCAGCAACGTCGTCACCGGGGAAACTAAGAGCTTCTTTTCCGCAGCGCGATCAGTACGTAATTTCAAATATTACAAATTAATCCGATTCCTCTAAATGTAACAATAAAATTTATTCGAATACAATAGTATATCATATTGAATAAAATATGTATATGTACATATATTTTGTGAAATTTCGCTGTAATATTTTGTAACGTTTGTTTTTTTAATTTTATTGCCAATTATTCAATTCTCTAAAGTTTCTTTTTCTTTGTGGTGTCTCTTTCTTTAATATTATATCCCCCATCATCTTTATGCATTCTTTTATTGTTTGTCGTTTAGTGGTGGCAAGTCGATAAAGTGTCGCCCATAAAGCTGTTTGATGAGAACAAGACATTGTCTGGATTGAATCTACGCCACTTAATGTACCAACACGGCAGTCATGCGTTCGTACGACGGGCGGTGAATCAAGTGTATACACTGTGGAGCGAGGGCAAGATCAAACCAGTGGTGGACTCAACATGGGCGCTGGAGGATGTACCCGAAGCTATGCAAAAAATGCACGATCGCAAGAACATCGGTAAGATCGTGCTGGATCCGAGTCTGGAGCCGAAGCCCAAACCAGCTACGCCGGCTAAAGGCAAAGCGAAAGACAAGAAGGCCGCGAATCAGGAGGAGAAGAAGGCGTCTAGCGTAGAGTCGGAAGAGGGAGAGAAGAAGAAGGAGCCCGAATTGACAAACGGTACCTCAGAAGACAAATCTGATAGCGGTAAGAAAATAAGATGTATACATTTTTTAGAAATAATTGCAAACAAAATACTATTTTATATAATTTCATAAAAATATTAAATTCGATCAATGATTCATCTAATGATTTTCGTTCATTTTTTCTGTTTCAGATTCCAAAGAAAAGGAATCTAGCTGAATTAGCGGAAACTAAGACGAAAAAAAATTGATATCCGCAAACATTTGCAAGAATTTTTCAAAAATATACTATTGCCCGAAAGAATGAAAAATTAAGTTCGTTTTAAATAATACATGAGCGATATTGCGCAAACTTTACATGCAGATGATTCCATAAAAACTTTGTACAACTTAATATAATGGATGAAATAAAATTCCGAACAATTACTGGAGATATAGAATTCGAAATTTCAATTTAGTGAGTAATCGATCGCTTGTACTGAGTTAATACACATTATACTCTTTTCTATCTAAAAGCCACCTTTTTTAACGCTCATCATCTGCATGTATATAACTATTTTTCCTTACATTTGCGCCGAGATTAATAATTCATGTGAATTATGAGTGAAGGAGAATCAACCAGCATATTGCATAAGAACGAGAGAAATAACCAAATAGAAATAACAATCTTGATGCGGTCCACAGTAGTTTACAGAATATAAGAACGTTATGTTTATTTTTTCACATTGACCAAATGATTAATTTTGCGAGGAGTTAAGTAAACGACTGTTGGATACCACGTAGTCATTAGGCAGCTTTTTTTTTTACTATCGCTATTATTTTAGGAAATGGATACAACTAGCCTTTCCGTACTTATTAAATGACCATAAATACGAAGTAAACAGCAGTTTAATAACTGTGTGTTGTCCAACAGCTATTTACTTGGCTCTGTTTATCTGTATCGAATACTATCGCTGCTACTACGGTATATACTAACACACATTCTCTCTTATACTAATATAATATTACTTCTATTTGTAATTTATAATGGGATAAAATAACATAATTGCGCTAATGTCGCAATTTCCGTAACGAAAAGCTAAGAATGCAAAGCTGCATTACTTTCGTATATAAATTTTACGTATTACGAAGATGTTTTTACGCCACTTTATTATTCATCGTGATCCTTTTGTCACGATGAAATATCCTTTTTAAATTTTAACGATAGCCATGAAAGTCAAAAATAATATTTAGTACACTACATATATTAATGAAGTATTTTGCTGAGATTTGGACGCTCTTTTTTTCATACGATTTCATACTTTATAATAGTTCTTATGTAAAATTAGTTATAGATTTTTCCTATGTAGATTTTCCTATGTAAAAATTGAAAAGTAGAAAAAATTTAAATACTAAATGTAACTAACATGTTTACTCTAATCGGTATTTTTCTAAATCAAAATTATCTCTTTTTTTCAAATCACGTTGATCTTTGCAACGATATATCAACGAGCTTTCAAAATATTTCGATTAAATTTTTGAAATTCGAGATGTAATGCAAAAGTAAATATAAATTGATTCGCCTTAATGTTTATCATACGCTAAAAATTGTGGATAATCGAAGATTTGATATCAAATCTGAATATAAGAAAATTGATTATGTATGATTAATTAATTAAACAAAAATGTAATTAGACTGATTAATTACGGCTTGAATATAAGTCTAATAAGGATATTACTCGGCACATAAGTGCTTTGAGAATTTATTTTAACGAATGTTGGCGTACTATTATTTCTTTTTATGACTTTTGACTCACAATCAGTTTTAACAAAAAAAGAAAAAAAATCAGATGTGCGAACCGATAATGTATGTACTTTAAAAACTTCAAATAACTTTATTGTTTAAATGAAATTTTATAAACATATTTAATGACGTTGCATCAACATGTACATGAAGAGTAATTTAATGAATTAGCATCGTAGAATATATCGCTTTTCTTACGAGAAGGAACGACAGTCTAAAAAAAAAAAAAAGAAAAAAAATACGCAAGGCCTCATTTTCTATTATCACGTACTCGCGTGAATACATAATTGTCGCTTGAGACGCCGAACGCGTGACTGCAATCCGATAAATTATGTTGAATCTGCATTGCGATCTTTCCTTAACTTTAGAACCTTCGAGTAATATTTTTGCGACGGTCGTGATATATTGTTGGCCGTTCTACGTACGCAAAAAGAAAGGAAAAAAATAGAACGAAGAACGCGTTTTTAACGGCGATCTGTTGAGAGCGAGAAGGTTTTCATAGTAATATAAACGAAAGATTAAGGATCCTCGTGAGTCTCGTGAGAGAAGGTGAAAAAAAAGGGGAAAAAATTTCGAGGGCGTGTCCTTTCGATGGAATGCGGCTCGGTGGAGAAGCTGACCGATGCAGAACAAAGTGTGCATATCTCTCCGGAACGTTGGAACAATTTTGGTGTAGCCGATTTCGTTAGGATTTGATACTAGCTCTGTATACCGATATCTATATTATACAAATCATTATATGAGAAGAAAAAAAAGACGTGCGGACGAGAGGAAAAGGTATGTGTCGAGGATATCCAAGCTCGCGCAAATCTCGAATTAAAGTGAGAGAAACGCGCGAAAGAGCCAAGAATTTACTGCCGTATCGAATCTCTCTCGGTCCAAAAGTACATAATACTTATCTTACTCTAGAAAAACGTATCGATCTGAAAGGAAAAAGTGTGAAAAATGCAAAAAACATGATAAATGTGGCTGCATATTTTGAGACATCTTTTAAACACGTAAGAGATACTCTTAATCCCGACACAAAAATACACGAACACACGCCCATACACGATGAAATACGATGACACACATCATACTGTATATTTTATTGTAAGGCTTTAAATGTTTCATCAAATAACTCTATTATATTATAATATATCTATATATATTTGTATCGATCGTTTCCTCCTGCCCTGATTTTTTTATTTAGGTCCGAAGCACGAATGTCAGAATAATAAGTCCGGGATGTACGAATGTTATATGCGAGATTGGATGCAAGAGCTTTAAATCTAAAGAACGTACGCGAAAATCGAATAACCACAGGCTATATATTTTTTATTACAATGATCATTTTAATTCAACAATCGAATTTCATACATACCAACATTGCGTATTTTGCAGATATTTCACATTGTCTTATTTACATATAAGGATGTATGTCATGTTCCACATAACAAATATTTTTTGTACAGCTAGAATATTTTTGTGTATTCTTAATTCTTTGTGTTGTCGAAATGAAATTTTAAATGCGCGAGTAATGATTTTTTATGAAAAATTGAGAGAATTCAGATTAATTTTGAATTATTAAAATACATTTAAGAAAAGCCGCTGCACTCCAGAAAAATTTACGTAGATCAGACCACTCATAAAAATGCTGAAATTTCGCGATAATATCGTAATCAAAATATCTTACAATTGCGAAATGCTATTATATTTTTTTGAGAAAAAATGTTTAATGGAGAGAGCACAAAAATTATGCAGATATATTATATCGGAATGCTTTTAGCTCTGTAATTGCTACATATATATATACATATATAATCGAATTTCTAAGCATTTTATAAAATGCATATCTAATGCGTCATATCTGAAATGCGCCATATTCTTGGATGCACGTTTAACTAAGCCACTTCTAAAATTTAAGAGTCGACTAAATTTTAAAATCGCGAGACAATCTACGTAAATTGGCACATGAAATGAAACATGTTCGATAGTTAATGACCGAAATGTATGCATATATGATTTCATGCCAGCACGCGAGAGTTATTTGGCCGTAATAATTCCACTTACCTAGGGAACGAATCCTTGAAACAAATCGTGCATAAGTACGTATAAAAACGATTGTCAAGAATGATAAAATGAAAATTATTTACAATCGTTAATAAAAAGGGGGGTATGCGGCGAGGGAAATTCGGACAATTTTTTCAAGAATATATACTTTTACGAAAGGTTCATCGTCTCAAAAGCTGTATAAGCATTCCGTTGATGGAGAGCGAGGATGAGATGATAATTAAGCACGCGTGCGTCTCTTATATATATTAGTTACGCGAATCCGCATCGTTAGACAGCAGGACCTACAATTTTGCGAACGTGATATATTATGATTGTGTAAAATTGTAAACTTTGTCGAGGAGTCCGGGCGAAAGCAACGAGCACTTTTTCTCATCATCGAGATTCTCGATCGCGAAGAAGCTCATGGGAAAAGGAAAAAAAAGACCTTCGCCCGCTCCCCGTCAAGCTTGATATAGATTGTATTTTTGGCTTATTATTGTAAGACTGACTATGTTGCTATATTAAAGATTGCTTCGAAAACACAGAACGAAACTTGATTGTATTTTCTTCTTCTTCCTCCTCCTCTATATCCTATAATATAAACTCTCTCTCTCTAGAAGAGAATTTTTCATTCAAAATCGTGCAAGGATACATTAAACGATATATGAAATAATATTTTTTATTATTTATATTTGTATAAAGGTTATAAAACTTAAAAATATGTATTCCATATTATGTGTTAAATTATGTGTTGATTTCGCTAATATTTAAAAAAAGAATCGTGATAGCTCAAACGAAGATCACTTTGCAATGATTTGTGTTATTGAAGTACTTATACTTAATTTATCTGTATTGTGAAGCAGACTTTTTCTTGGACGGTATCTCGAAGCGTTACGCAAATACGGATGTATTTTAAAGATCCGTTATACAGTTATAATTTATATTATATCGCGTGTATAATAAATAATTTTTGCAAAGATATGCGAAAGTATGCCGTTTGTCAATTGTCGATAATCATATTTGAAGTTCAAGGCAGACCCTTAAAAGCATCGGTAAAGCGTAACTGATTTATTATTAAACTTTTATTAACTATAACTTAAACTATATCTTGTAAGGCATATACATAATATCTATATAACGTGCTATGTTATTAAAATAGATCTTTAACGTCTTTTTTTTAACAGATACGTATCTATACACATAAATGTTATTCTCTTGAGGCACTAATTATCGGGACGGAATAAATTCCTTTGATCCACGCAAGTACATATTTATATATAAACAGGACGGTATCATCGTAATTTACTCGACTTTAAGTATCGAGTTGGAATATTTATGTTTCCTATTCTACTATTTACATATTTTGCCGAATCACACATTAAAGTCTTGTGTTGCCTTTTTGAATGAGATTTTTTTTATACATTTAAAAATTGAAATAAAACAGGTAGTTTAAAAAAAAGGGAATTTTGACGAGTACTACGAAGGCACGATCTACAAATAATATATAATTCCGTAAATTATATAGATAAAATAATCACGGAAAAAAGAATTAGCCACCATAGCTAAATTTTAGCTGTTCTTATATTAAAACTAGAAATTTAGTTATATCTAAATTTTAGCTATAATAACTAATATTTTTTAGCTATACTATTGATGGAAAATTCTGTTTAATTGCAACTAAAAAATTAGCTATTATAGCTAAAATTTAGGCATCATAACTAAATTTCAGACATAATATGCGAGGACAGCTAAAATTTAGTTTTGGTGGCTAATTTGTTTTCGTGAAGAAATATCAAGAAATATACAAATATGAAAATTATTAAAGAAAAAATTTCAGAGAAAAGTTTTACATTGCTTATTAAAAGTCCGAAACTAGTATGTAATATATCTTCTTTGATATACTCTTTTAATTACTATGAACACTTTTGCTGTAATTATTTTGGTAATGATAGTGAATAGGATAGCTAACGAAAATCGCTGGCTACAACTATCACGCTTGATTTGTACTTGAGATGCTTTGCCTCCAAGAGTACAATGCCCTAATCATATAAAAAACAACTTCATGCATTCTAAAAAAAACACAGGACGGATAATATAATATTTATAAAATTAATATATATAATAATCGTTAAACAATATTGTATAATAAAATAGCTTTGGACGTTATTTGAAATTGTGTCCAAAATTGCTCGCAATCAATATTCTTCGAAATGATTACTTTCGATTAATGATATAAAAATTTTGTTTGTGCGTTTTGTATCAAGAAGTAAATTCTATTTTCTAAATTATAATTTTGTAAAGTAAGTAATACTTTGTAAATAATATTATATATATCTTCTGCCTATTGCAAAATCTTTTCGAATAAATATAAGATTATTGTTCTTATTTCGCAATTAATATAATATGATTTTCTATAAATATAAAATATAAAATCGCATGAAAACAAATATACGAAAAGATACTTTTGATTAAATATATCTTACATAAATTATGTAACAAGAAATTACTTGACATTACTTGAATGTCGCATAACAATAGCCATAATCATTAAAAATAATTATCTTAATTAGAAAAAGCAATTAAAATTCAGAAAATAATCATTTCAATGACAATTATTCCGCGTAATTATACGGAATAATTAATTATATTAATTATTAATTATTTACGCGAAAATAACTCGTCTTCTATTTGACTTACACAATTATTGTTCTCATTATTTTTATAAAATATATATAAAAACGCAGCATTTGAAATTTTTAGAGAAATGAGATTCGTGTGGACATGTATAGTAATTTTTGCTTATCGTATTGTTCCATATTTGTGCTCTGTTAGCAGAGGCAAACCATGATAGAAATTGACAAGAATCGAACATTTTTACCTTTGTGTTATTGTTAGCCGTCGTAGAATTGTTGCGTTCGGAAGTACCTCGTTATCGTGACGACAATTGAAGCGATAAGCAGGAAACCTGCCGGCGTGGCTAAAAGTGTAGCGGCATTGTAAATTGGGCAGTAAGGACACTGTGAGCTGCCGCAAACCTCGCATATATTTAAAGTATATGTGGGCAGTGCATCGAATATAGATTCGTTGAAACGTTCTGAAACAAGAATGGGGTAAATAAATTTACAATTTGAATAAAAAATATAATGAATAATATAGAGTGAATAAATAATATAATGATATACATATCCATTAAGCAATATAAAATATTAGTATATTTATAAATACCTGGCGAATAGTAATCATAAACGCGAATGGGAAGATATCGCGACATATTTGCGACGGGATACCAACGTTCCACAGTGAAGTTTACGCATGTCTCTTCGTAGTCTAGATAATCGAAGTAGAAAAGCACTTTCTTTTCTTGGAAACGTGCTCTCTGCAGATTCCTCACTTGTTTCGACAAGATGTATCTATCCAGAGTTTGCTGTTGGATTATGTAGCCGGTTGGTATAGCTACGTCCAACACAGCCATACCAGAACGCGAGGATTCGTTGAGATTCGTCCATCTGTACGAAGAAAAATGCATTTTCACAACAGTAAAAAGAAAAATAGCAAGATATAATTTTCTAATTGTAATAATCTCACCTTTGACAACTAAGATAGGAGATGTGAGACTGATTTCTGCCGTGGAAATTCGCTCTGGTGACTAGATCGAAGGATTTAATCGGTGGCTGCGTTTGGAATCTCTTTATATCCACGTTATATTGCACGTGCATCTGTAAAATTGCGTAGCCCGCGCCCTTTGCCTGCACTTTGACAGTTCCCCATGCTTCAGGTATCTAAAAAATAATCATATACAATTTATGAATATCGTCCTGATATTATCTCGCGGAATATATACGCATCTCGAAGTGTTACGTACCTCAATAGTTTGAAGTCTCGCCAGATTGTTGTCGTTTACAGTCAACGTCTTGGTCTGACCCGGCAAAGCAGTAGCCTCCACAGTTACCGTGAGTGAACTGACGTCCCTGATTCTCGACCTCACGGTATACTCCATCAACGCCTTCATCGCCCAAACGGTATCCTGAGTAGAGGCCCATCCACCATCCGTCAGTCTCTGCGCGTTCAACCACTTAACAATCGGCTCTATCATGATCTCTTGTCGAGCGACGTGCACCATTAACGCGTACGCGGTTGTCTCTATATTTTCTGAATCATATTTGTAGGGTAGACGCGGCAGCAGGAAGGGTTTCTGATTCTCCAATTTGTACGGAGGAAGTGGCACCTGTTCTCTGCCCCAGTATGTCAACCCGCCCTCTCTCCGCGCGTGTCTCGCCAGAATATTGAAAGCCTGCTCAGCAGTGGAGGCTTTCGCCACCAAAAGCGCGTAAGCCACTATCGCTACTTCGTATGGCTTGCCGCGTTCTTCCAACAGTTTCAGATTCCTCTCCAACCATTTGATAGCGTTCGCCGCGCTGAGAGCTACTTGAGAACCTAGACCGCCAGTGAGATCCTTGACGCTTTCTAACGTGATAAGCACGTGAGCGGTAAGACTGATGTTTCGATGGGTGATTATATCGTTTCTATAATTCAAGGAACTGTTCATCTTCCGGTCCGGCAGCCAGGTCACCTCGTAGAACGCGCCTTCTGGCGTCTGGTGCTTCAGTATCCAGGAAACCGCCTGAGCTATCACCTCGGGATCGATGTACAAGTAGTTCTCCCATTCGTAGAAGCTGGCCTCCTGAATACTCGGGCGCAAAATGCTGTCAACCAAACACTCGGCATCGATTGGTTCCAATCAGTGCGGAAAAAGCTGAAAGACCCATCGGGATTCATGAACGACAACTGTCGCTGATAGCCGATATTCATGTAGTAGAAGCTTTCTTTTTCCTGCGTACGATTGCGCTGATTAATCAAACGCATGTACAGGGTAGTGTACATGTTAGCGGCGAAACTGAACATGTTCTGTTCGGCGCAATCCATTGGTAGATTCATAAGACTCGTTGCATTTACCGGCATTGTGGGAAAGATCGGCCCCACCACGTCGCCTACCAAACTGATGGTCGCCTTGTTGGATCCAAACACATAATAACGATTCTCATCGTAGGGTATGATCGGTGTCTCTGTAATGTTTACGTGCATGTATTGGAATACGTAGGCTCGATTACTGAGATCTAGTAGTATCGATTGATGCCGATGCTGAGGAACTCCGTCAGCCTCGACGTGCAAGATGCGAGTCACCGAGTCCCTGCCGATTAGAGTGCTAGCGTAGACGTGTACTTTGATATCGCCGAGTCTCACTGGTACGATGGGCAAATAAACGATGTTAGCGTCCTGCGCAGGGATCCAGATAAAGAATTGATGCTCGCCGAAGGAAGTACGCGGCTTGTACGACTGCACAATGCCGTTGTCCTCGACGTGGACGAACTTGTAGTCCTTGGAGCCTGCTAATACCACTGTCGCCTCGATGTTGTAGCGCATATAATTGAAGACAGACACTCGGATACCGATTTGTTCGCCTTGTCTGCTGTTAGTCGGCATCTCCACGTTTATATAGAACGGCAGAACTCCGGTATATTCCAGCGCTTTCGGTAACATGCCAAAGCCCATGCTGGGCGACATACTGAATACGGTGACCATCCAGTGAACTGGCCTTCGCGGCACGTCCAGGTTGAAGATCTGCCGACCGTGTGGACCGATATTGATGTCCTTCCACAGCCAGACGTTCTCGTAATGCCTCTGAATTCGATTGAACCGCCATTTGCGGAACTGCGCTAAATCGGTTGCGTTTCGCTCGACACATCGCGTCTCGTCCGAGCCATCCTCGCAGTCGAACACGCCGTCACATTTTTGTCCAGTCTATAGCACCGACCGTTTAGGCACTCGCCATATCCTTGAGTTCGGTTGCAGAGTTCGTGTCGCCGGTGTATCACGGCATCTGTGAAGACAACCAAGCCGATGTACTCGAACGTGCGGTTGACGTCGATGCCGAAAGTGGATGATGGGAAGTATATGATTTCGTCCGGATCGCCATCGTGGTACTGCCAGGTGTGCATGTGGGTGCCATTAGTCTCTTCATCGAAGTGTGCCATCTTCGTGATCACGTTTGCGTACGTCAATTCATTGCCCGCTTGCATGGTGTAGAATGAACGATCAATGCCTGACAATCCAACGTAGGCGCCGGGCTCGCCATAGATGGCCACCTCGACGCGTTCACCCGTTCTCGACTTCTTGTTGTTGATGAACACAGTGAAGTTGTTGCGCGAGATGCCGTTCACCGGAAACGTCAGTGAATCCGCTACCACATCGCCATAAAGACCTACGTAATATACCACCGCGGTTGCAACAGGAGCCATCTCAGGACTTAGAGGTATCGCAAAGGTTTTGATGTTGTGCTGCATATTGTCTTCTCCGGCCAGGAGTATTATACCTTTGGACATGATTATGTAGTTAAAGGTATCGATGTGGAAGTTGGTTTGTACGTGAAACACCATGTATTCACCGACTTTAGGCTTCTCAGTGGAAGTTGAGATCTTGATGTGCTTCGTATTCGGAGACTCGTGAGCGAGCAACAGCAATTCGGTCTGCGTTCTCTGACCCTCGCCGTCGGTGATGTGTGCGTAGATCCTCATCGAAGTAATATCGTTCAGAATCTGATTAACGTCGGTGCTATGCTCCAGTCCGAGTTGCTTTCTGAGATCCATCTTTACGGACCATATATCCGCGTGTTCCGGCGACGCTGTTAGATATTGGGTATCGATTGTACGACGTCCGCTTCGCATCTCTACGTCCGCGCGAATCTCCACTACGGCACCTAAGAGTTGCGTAGGTCGCAGCGGCGAGTTGTCGTGGAAGGACGCAACCAGGTTCAACGAGAACGGCATCGCTGGTTTAAAAATTTGCGGACTACCGCCGAGGAAACGAATTTTTGTAGTCGAATTGAAGATCCTCGCCGTGGAGTAGCCAACGATCACCTCATCCAAGAATCTCTCGCCCACTGTTGCAACTACTGTGACTTCCATTCCGTCGATGGACGAAACAAAGTTCAATAATTCCTGCATAGGGTATCGGAAGTGATACGTCCCATTAAAGAATCTTAAAACTGGGACTCTCTCTTCGTAGGGATTGATTGCTCTAAACCATGCCGGATAATATTCGTTAAAATTAAAGTACCTCTCGACTGGATCAATTCCTGAAGGAATGCGCGTTCTGTCTATTGGCTTGAAGCTGGCTTTCAGAGTTAAATTACCCCTAACCGGCGCGCCCGAAGTATAATTCGCCTGAACGATACCGTAAATATAGGGATCATTGTCGAAGAAGAACGCCGGCATCGTAACGTTCACCTCGAACCGTGTCTGATAGTACTCTTCCACCAAGAATGTCTTCTCCTCTACTTGATTCTGCGCTATTATTTGCACGATCCATTCCCCGAAAACAGGTTGATCGGACAATTGATATGACAGCGACACTGTACCCAAATTGCTCTGCCTGCTGAGCCATCTTCTCATAATTCTTCTGTTTGGATCCAACATATATACATCCACGGGATTGTCATACGCTTTCAATTCTGTGTCTATTGGAATCGTTCTGAATCGCACCGTTTCGCCTTGCATATATACAGGTTTATCCAACTGTATAAATATAGTCATGGAACGTTGTGAGAATATCAGCTTGGTTTCGTTATAAAAGGCCTGACCACCTTTCAGACTGTTGTACATCCCTTCTATGCGCAGTTTATAATCACCACCTACTGAAGTAGGTGGCATACGCATCATTAGAGTTTCTGGTATGCCCTCCTTCACTTCCTGAAAATCCGCCGCGATTTCTACACCATTGCGTTGAATGGATGAACGTACTGTCATAGGTAATGGGCTGTGAAGTATGTTTACAGCGACTCTGTACACTTGATCTGGTCTAACCATACGAGATGCAACGACAAAATATGTGCTGCAAATAAATTAAGAATTATGTTGACATTTTATTCACACAGTTGTTTTATTTCTGTGTCAAACCCAATATTACTCACGATTCTTTAATTATGACATTTTCATTTTGACCTAAAGGATTTCGGAATCCAAAGCCTGTATTCTGATCCCATTCATCGTAACGATTTCGTGGAGGAGATCTTGAAGTGAAGTCCACTGATTCTGGAGTGAACTGGCCATTTCCAGAAGCCAGCAATAATAAGAGAATCCAGATCGACATTTTTGCTGAAATATATAAATTTATCATTAATTTATATTCCATAGAAAACATTCAAACATTTTTTCATGTTAATTTACGATTTCAATTAAAATATCCATGATAATAGATACGCAAATTTTTGATAAATATATTAGTCATCAACAGTACATGAAGAAACTTGTCAAGTCGATTAATTATATATAAATATGTCCCTGAGATAGTATCGTAATTCCACTCACTACGCGTTGATAAATGAATAAATAAATAATAATAATACGTAAATAAATGCACAAATAACACAGTAAAATGAATTTAAAAAATAGATTACACGGGGTTAGGCGGGACGGTCAACGCCCAAACGCGCATTCTTCGAATCGTGTGTCATTATTTAGCGCTCACCTCAGGACGATTTCTCAATCAAGTCGACCGAGTCCCGCGTGTATCACTAGAGGATGGTGCACGCGATTAGCATCACCGCGATCGCGTGCGCTTATATACGAGAATTACAAAAAATCGTCGAGTACGTCGGGCATCGTGTGTAGAAATTTGCGAGCGAAAGGAGTGGCCCGTTACAAACTTTTGTTTTGTCCATAGACCTGTCAAATGCATAGACAAGGCTAAACCTAACCCTTGCCATGAAATCGGAAGAGTTACGTCATGAACTTCCTACTTTCCGATTGGTCGATTAAACACTACGAATTGACAGTTAGTGCTCCATCTACCTGTTTTATTCGTCTATGGTTCTTCCATTAAATATGAATGAATGAAATGTCATGATAGGCATGTCATATGTCAAAACCGAACACAGAGGACTGTTGCGTCATCTGCAAGCAGTGATGATTGCTCGTCATGTTGTCTGTTATTTTCCTAGAAAATGAACCGATAACAATAATGTGTCTAGGGATACGACAACGCATATCAACATCGATTTCGCTGTAATGTGTAATTCACCGGCGTAGCCCCTGCTATTTGAGCCATTTGAGCACAATTTTGAATAATATCGAAAAATATCTTTTAGCATGCATATTTTGAACTACGTTTCATGTATTCTACAGTGCCACTTCCCATAGACATCTATTTGTCGTCATGGACGAAACATGCGAAAAATTATTTTGCAATACACTGACGTGAGTTTGACAACTTGACAATTTGTTATTCTTGTGTATATAGCAGCTTGTTGTAAACATAATTAATTTTTCAGTGAATCACTAGTATGATTTAAATAACACTGTTTATAAGCATAATAAAGGTCTACTTTTTAATTGTATGAACCATTTTTTTAAACAAAAATTAGACGAACATTTATTTTATAGAGAAAAATTGATTATGTTAGCTGTTATAAGATCATGATTATTGGTACATGCATTTTATATTAAAATTTGCATTCTTCATGATTAATCAAAATTGATATTTTTTTACAAACAGGGCAGAAGAACTATTACGCAGCAAGGGTATCAGTAGTAACACATTGGAAGAATGGGAAAGATCTTTGAAAACTTTGCCCAAAAGTGGAAAGAAGTATTTTGAACCTAATAATTCTTGGCTCCAAAATGTTCAGATTGAAAAGGGACTTAAAAATCGTAGAGACTTATTAAATATTGAAAGAGTTGAACGTACCTCAGAATTAGCCATTGCTGAATGGATACCATCCCAAAAAAAAGCCCTTGTTACTAAAAGATCTGGTCAAGAATGGGCCAATTTTGGCTTGGAAAAAAATGGTTCCTTATATTTATTACCAGAAGAAACATTATTTCTTATAGAAACAGTATGTTTTCTAAAATTTATATAATTATAATTTTTTAGCAACTTTCTCAAACTGTAATTATTTCTACAACATATTTAATGTTAAAAATATAATTTATTTTTAATATATCCTTGTATATTACAGAATTGTCTTGAACTTATTTGGAATAACGTACCATGTTCAATTCAACAAGCATATGAGATCTTAATTGATGACTCGGTATGCACTTTGGAAGAATATAGAGTTTATAGTCAATTAACACGTTATGGTTATCGTATACAACGTTATTTTTATGAAGAGGCAGAAAAGTGCAATAGATCAGATGAATGTGCTAAACGAAAAATTATTGTTGATCCTGAGAGTGGACTGAGAATGTCTGACAATCAATTGCAGAATCAACAAAGCATGGAAAAATCAAAAGAAACTTTAGTAAAGGATCTGATGAAAACATCAAATAAGTCATTTGTTAATGCTAATACAAAAGATGATGAAAATATTATAGTAGAAGAGCCTGTGGATCAAGTAGTGCAAGATGTAATGGTCCATCTTTTGTCTAATATAGAAGGCCAGAAAAGTATAAATAACTCTGTTACTTTTGAATTAATAGAAAATGATACAATACAAAGTGATATAAATAGCGAAGAAAAGAATCGAAATTCTAAACCAGAAATAATTTCTGATGAAACTTTACTAGGCAATATCAAATTCTCAGAGATACAACATGTAACTCAAAGACAAGTTCTAAAGTATCAAAATGGCCAGGTACTCGTATTCAACGTAACGTTAAGCAATTGCCCAAGAGGAGTGATAAAGTATTATCTCCTGAGATTTCTGTAATCGAGTCTAGCTACACAAATGAAAGTTCTAAAGTAGAGAAACGAAAGTTGATGCAAGTTGACGAGTCGTCACATACAAAAAAATCAAAGCATGAGGTAAGATATTCTTTATATATATGTAGAATGCCTTAAAATTATTTATAAAATAATTTTGTTCTCAATTAGGTAATTGAATTATCTGATGATGAGATCCAGGAATTACCACGATGTATGACAAGAATGGAAATGTTAAACTTGTTTCCAAATATCGCTTTTCAATCGGATATTACAGAGAAAATCCACAGGCGATATTTACCACATAATATAAAGCCTCAGAATAATATTTATCAGTATAATCGGACCAAAATTTTACGTATGCAAGAGAATGATAAAAGAGCGCGACAGAATTGCAAAGACACAAGGATAAACACGAGACAAAATACAACGCTTTTGAGGAGTCCTGTTGCCGTCAATAATAGAAATACTCTTTTTCATAATCAGCATTCGCGATCACCTTTGTGTGGCCCGTCAAGACCGTTTTATCCTATGGACCAAATACACGGAACGAACATCGGTTTGTCTTACGCGTACAGATTTCCTTTTAATTACAGTCCGGCCGTTTACGTGCAGAATAGAATCACCCAGAATGTATTTCAAAATTTGTTCGTCGCCTATGAAAATAGTGGAAATGCCATTCAGCAAAGCAGAAGTTTGACTATACAAATGAATAATTACGCGATGCCAATCACGCACATGGAGGGATATCGAATGAGACATTTCTTTGCAGAGAATCAATTCCGGCATGGTTTCTATCAGAATCTTTTGTGGCAGCAGAGATTTTGTCAGCGGAGGATGTTAGAAAATACGTCAGTGCACAACAATATGCATCCTGTTGCAAGACAATATGATGATGCTAATAAAAGTAATCAGACCAGTCATGAAGTCGTCAATCGTCCTTCTTTTACGACTCGTCTAGGAGCTAGTTCATGGACAGAACTGAAAAGGAGATGGTCTGAAGAGAAAACTATTACAATCGACGATGAAGATTATATAAATAACAAATGTGACGAAGAATGTAATGAAGTGCAAGTCGTAAAGCTTATCAATCCATTGATCGGTCCAAGAAATGTATCTTCACTGACTGAGATCTTCAGTAAACTAGCTATAATCAAATCGGCGCCAGAAAGGACCGTTAGAAGGAAAAGGAACAAACATAAGATATCATACAATGTGTACTCCTGCACTCATCATTATAGAAAGACGAATCCTGGTCAACCGTTGTACAGCCTGGTAATAATAAGGTATTTTCTGTTAATAAGAAAAATGTTCTCTTAATATTGCACATTAGCATTCAGTAATTTTCAACAAAATTATAGGAAAGAGGATTCATTTCTTCAACCAGTCGAGTTGAATCGCCTACAACAGGATGCGAAAGGTTCTCAGATAATATTAGCATATGTATCCATGTCGATATCGTACATTCAACCAGGTATTATAACGATGCCAAATATTTGCACCTGAGTAATCCCTGCTAGTTGAAATTATTTCGGAGCAAATGAGGGATGATGTCTATCTATCAAAAATTGCTTTGTAAAATCCATAAAATTTATTTTATTGTAATAAACTTTTGCATACTTATAAAGACGAGAAATATCGATATTTTTATGTCCCCTATATTTTTTACAATAAACAGTTTGCATTTCAAAGTATTATAACATCTTAAAAATTATTAATCATGTAAAAACTAATATTGTATTTTTCTTATGTTGAACACTTATAATTGATTTTTTATGTATATATATAAAAAACACTGATAACAAAATTAAATATAATTTAATAAAATATGTAACTTTGAATATGTAATATAAAATAATATAACTCGAATTAATAAATATATTCCTAAATTATACATATATATTAGATATATTTTTTTATTTAAATAATATTTCATAGCAGCATTTGAATTATGTGGGATAATACAGACGATCGAATTTGAAATAAAATGTATAAATTGGAGAAGGAACATTATTTCATCTGATGTTTTTTCTCTCTCTCTCTCTCTCTCAAGATATTTGGAGCATGTGCCGGAGAGTCTATCTTCGCATATATATCTATATGTTTACGCAGTTGTGTTTTGCTTTCGTCTTGAATCTTGTATGTATGTCAGAGTATTGTGACATTTGACAAGCGAGCGTCTCAAATCACGGATTATTAAATGGAACAACCACCGTTAAAAAGAATTTGCAGTGAAACTCCTACAGGATCTAAAAATGACTACTCATCAGCGCAAAGCGATGAGAATCCAGTGGATTCGAGTATCTACCTAACCTATGACATTTTGAGAATTGTCTTTCGATCTTTAAACGGCAGAGATTTAACAAACGCCGCGAAGGTTTGCAGGTATAATACATTATAATATGTAACTCAATTTAATATCCTAAATATATACAATCAGAAAACTATATTTAAAATATATATACATATATATATATATATATATATATATATATATATATATATATATATATATACAAATACAAATTCGACTTATACTCATCATAAATAAATTTTTAAAGTTATTTATGTAATATATATTTAAAATATATATTTAATATATATTTATATATAATTTTATATATAATTTAATATATAATTAATATATATTTTAAAATTTATTCCTTAAAAATTTGATAGATAAATTTATTAACAATTATATTTAACATCACTACCTATTATGTGATTGTAAATAAAACATTTATTATATAAACTGACACTATATATAGTATGAATTATTTTTTACAGACTTTGGTTAGAAGCTGCAAATAGTGAAAAATGTACAAGAAGATGTCCTGAACATTTTATCCAATATTACAAATCATCTGTAGATCTAGAGAATATCAAAGACTCAAAAATTAGACCATCTGTAGGATTCTTTTTTATTTCTAGATTTACATCACCTAAGATAGAAGGTATTAGATGTTTATTCTTTTATTATATTCTTTATTATATTATTCTTATATTAAACCAATTCTTTTTAATTAATTTTGATATTAATTATTATAATGTCTATGTGTAGATAGCATAACTAATACTATGTAACATATTAAGTATGCAGATGAAAGAACTTTAGTAATAAAAACAACATTACATTTTTCAAGACAATTTCTGTAATAAATCACAATTTTTAATATATGTGAATTCTGTATTTTTATATTTTAATATTTATATATTTTCATTTTCCTCTAGGCCATGAAATAATATTATTGAAATTAATATATTCTATCTCTTTTTATTCAGAATGTATCTTGAACTCACTTCCACAAAATTGTATGGCCATAATGCTATACACTAATGGTACTATTATCAATAATATAGAGAAAGAATGTGAAGATTCACATGTAATATGTGCACTTTTACCACAAATTTCGGACGTGAAAATCAACGCGTTTAAAGTGACAAAGAAATGTATGCTACCAATTTTGCAATCTGAAAGACTTTCACAAGCAATTAAATATCAAGAATTTATTAAGATGATTGATGAAACATCTGTACAAAATTGTAACAAATCTACGTGTTTGATGTTACTCTGCAACGAAGCAGGCTATGCGACAGCAATGTGTCTCGCCGCGACTATAAAAAATAGGTAATTTAAATAATTTAAGTAATTTATAAATATAATGTATAGTTATTGATATTTAACAACGTATGTTTTTTCTCTTAGCCAAGATGGTATAACTTCTTTATGGGGTGGTGTGGTAGAAAATATACACACGCAGTATAGTAATATACCATATACAAAAAAAGGAGAAGATATTTCATACAATCCGCGTAATCCATATTGTCTAGCTGTCTTAATTACCGGCCCGATACAAACATGGTCTACGATTGTAGACAAAAAATGCAAAACGAAGGAACAAATTGAAGTGAGATTAAGATTATTTAGAGATCAGGTAAAGCTGAAGAAACATTCCATGGGATTTATGTTCGCATGCAAAGCTCGCGCAGCTATTATACATAACGAGAACGTGTATCAAATACATAACGAGGAAGCGATGATATTTAAGACATTATTTCCCGAAGTACCTTTAGTTGGTTGTTTCGGTGACGGCGAGTTTGGGAAAAATACTACACATGCTGAGGAGATGCAAAAGGAAAGTGAGTAATTTATCAATTTCTTTCTCGATAAAAATATTGTCTCTTGAAAAAGCATACATTGTTTTTATTTATTATTGTTATTATTTGATTTCAGCGAGGAGTAAAAAGAAACAGAAAGTATATAAAGAATTGTACAATGAATTCTCCATCATGTTTCTGATACTTACATATGGTTGATGCTTTGAAGGGACACATGGATATATTACGATTATTTTTTATCATTCGCGCGTTGCTAGATTTTAACTAGATCTCTCTTGTTTTTTTCGTTTATGAACTATACTTATAAACAAATAATTAATACATGACATGTTATAACATTAAGTCTAAATAGAGAGATCGTATTTTATTTTTAGATACGTTCTGCGAGTGTTTTTGTACAAATTAAGACGTTGCTACCGAAGATTAAGAAACAAATATGTTATATAATATATGATAATATATTGTATGTTCTTACATTATGAGTATACTTTGTATTTAGTTTCGTTCGTATTACATACATATTTTTTTCATTACGTTTTCTGATATGCATGTTATAAGTGATTATACCGGTCGAATGATCGCGATGTAATGTGCCTTGTTTTAAACATGCGTATCAGAAAATGCAAATGCAAAAAATCCAAGATACCGAAAATTGTTACCTTATAGATAGCAGTTGTAATATTATCGGTAAACCAACCGGTTTCTTGACGTTGATTTAGCGCAGGTCGTATGCGATATGTGTGCACAAAGTAGGTGTGCATTTTGGTAATCTGCACCCTTCTGAATACAATTATAATCTCTGAAGCCGCTTGACAGTCCTTCCGCGCAAGGTGATACAACAGTACGAGATAAAACTGAACAAACTAGGCCACAACGAAAGGGTATACTGACATCTTATCGTGATGCTAGCAGGATTTAAAAAGGAGTCTTCACTCCATGACATCAACGATTTAATTACCACGATCGTCATTAGCAGTTTTAAAAGGTCTAGGGTTCGCACGACTTGTGATCCTAAACGATTTTACTCAATTATACTGATAAAATGTTACCAAATCTACTTATATCAAAACAAATTATTATTCTCATTACATTATGGTGTTCTTCTGTACATTCGGAACGATGGGAAAGTGGTTTGCGCCAAAGATACGATGGCTATGGAGAGGATTGGATATTCATGCCTGATGGTAATGGGCAACCTCAAGTAGCGGTATTAAAAATACAAGATACCGAAACGAGAGGCAGCATATTGGACGGATCGGAGATAGTTTACGTAATTTACACTCGGTATTCAATTATAAGTTGTATAACACTTAATAAGCTCACTACTATTTTGTACGTAGTTAGTTGTTTATTCGATCTCCTGTATTTTTTTTAAAGATCCAATCCGAAAGAAGGCACACGAGTGACTCTAAATAATACCTCGAATCTCATTAATTCCGACTTTAAACCTTCGCGAAAAACGAAATTCATTACGCACGGCTGGAAGTCAAGTGCCATGAGCACCGGGATTTTGAACATGAAAGAAGGTAAGTATGATTGCTTATTTCTTTAATTACTTGATGAGTTATATCTCTACGAAAGCGCACTTTTTGACAATTTGCGCTTTTCAAAATAGCTTTTCTTACTCATGGCGATTATAACGTTATCCTCGTGGATTGGGAACCTTTGGCTGCGAGCACGTTTTACTTGGGACCGATGCAAAACACCGTAAGAGTCGGGACTGATGCTGCCAATTTCATAAATTTCTTAGTGAAGGAGACTGGATTAAAGACCGAGGACGTTCACTTTATCGGTATATCGTCTTGTGTAATAAAATGATAACGCTTCATAATTGCATTTGCATTACTTTGTGTTCATTGTTGATCCACATAAGGCCATTCTCTCGGTGCACATGTGGCTGGAAACGCGGGCGGTTCGATGACTGCTGGAAAATTGAGCAGAGTAACGGGTTTAGATCCAGCGTTACCGGGATTCCACATGCTCTCTTCTGAAAAGACTCGATTAGATTCTACCGATGCAGTATTCGTTGACGTCATACATTCCTGCGCAGGTGTCTTAGGCTTTCTTCAACCTCTGGGAAAAGCAGACTTTTATCCCAACGCTGGTACGGCGGTTCAGCCTGGATGTTGCTGCGTTCCCGAAATAATGGGTAACGAGTACTACTTGTTATTAATCTAGATTCTTGTAACAGAAACATTGTTCTTATCTCGGTTTATTTTAGAGGCTTGCAGTCATGGACGGTCATATGAATACTTTACCGAAAGTATCAATTCGAAAACAGGATTCTCGGCGACAAAATGCGATAGTTGGGATTCGTATATGAACGATAAATGCGCCAATTCGCAAGTGGTGCTCATGGGAGAGCATGTCGATCAAACTGCAAAGGGTCTATTCTTTCTCAGAACGAGATCGAATTCACCTTACGCCTACATACCGAAAGTAATTAATAACAATATCTAAGTAAAGACGATATCCATACAAGCAATTGTTGTAGGATGCATACGTATATCGAAATAATTTATATACCCTACATAGAGAGAGGTTGCTCATGGTTGCAAGAACAGCAAATATAAAATATTTGGCTTTAATAAATAATAATTACATTATTTTACACATGACTGAGGTATAATAACCATAGCGACAAACGAACATTTTTGAATATTGTAATATACCCTGACCTCCAAAATTTCGCTTTACGCATCAATCGTGTCTTGGCACCTATACTACTTTATGATAGTTAAGAAACAAGCAGCACCAAAAAAATACGGGAATGACTTAATATTAAATTGGTTTATAAAGCAAAGTAGTAACATACTTTTTGCGATAGCGATGCGTAGCTGATAAGACCATTACACTGTCCTTAATACTTAAAGCATAAAGATGATTTAGCATAACGTGATTTGGTTCAGGTAGAAGAGTAGGCTCGCACTGAAAAAAGAATAAATACAATAAGAGTTTTGTTAAATTTTATCTATAAACTATTTCTTTTCCAATGTAACTTACGGATAGCGGTGTATCCTTGTTAAGAATAACTTGTAACAGGTGCGGTGGTAAGATAGGCGGACCAGCTACTTTCTCCCAAGGCTTATGTGGTGGTATTTCTTGTCCATATTCTGTTTGAGTACTACTACTAACACCCTCGCTGTCTTTTGCGAGAGCTTGAAATACTTCAAAATCAGATTTCCTTACAGAGACTAAATTGTTTTTAGAGCCCATGCCATTATCTACAATTTTCTATATAACATCAACAATTTTTTGCATTTTATATAATATTACCTATGACACAGAATCATTAAATCCATAAATGCTCACCAGTCCAGGATCATGCCTCCATTCTCCATCAACGAAAAACTTATATTGATGCTCTCCCTCGGGCAGATCAATTATTGTGACAAAATCCCCATGGCTCTTTACCATTGGCAACGTTTTCCATCCAGTAAATGTGCCGCTAATATATACTTGCTTCCCTCCTCCTTCCCATTTGAAAACTGTCGGTAATACTTTACTGTCTGCAACTTTTGTTCCTTCGGAGACTGTGTTGGATCTTGGTCGTGAGCCAAAATCCTCTCTTTCTTGTTGGTTATTCTGTTAATATTCATATAAGATATATAATATAATATTTATATATGTGCAAATAAGTGTATATATATATATATATATATACACATATATATATATATGTTAATTCAATATTTTTTAATGTATTACTTTTGCAAAGTATGGCTCTTCTTCCTCTTGGGAAGAATAAAAGAGATTTTTTGCAGAGGCTTTTCGAGGTTTTTTGTCAAAGACAAATGCTTGGCCTTCCTTTCCTGGAGAGGGTGGAGGATGATCTTTGTTACATCGATGCTCTCTGCTTGCTACATTTCCATGATGATGACTGACTGGTTGATTGCTTCCCGCATTACCCATTATTATATCTAAAGACTAAACAAATAAAGAGATAACAGAGAAATCTAGATTTTACAACTTTATACTTTAGCCAAACAAAATTTAAGTCATGGAATACTAGATAGCAATATTACATAAAAATATGACAAAGAAAGAGATACATTTTGATATTTTATAGGTTAACAATAGTGCATACGTCTCCTTTTAAGTAAAAATAAAAATTAGCATAAAAAAGATATGGATCTAAGTTCAGAGATTTCGAGATTATTTAATGGTGGATATTATTTAATCTGAATAGTATAAATATAGTAACTCCATCGTATTCAGAAATACCTATAACCACACAAGTGTTCTATGAAACATTACTCACTTTGCAATAATCTTTTTATCCGCTCGATATACGCATCGATGACGACGAACGACAAATCGGATATGTAAACATTCGCTGGCAATGTCAAAGCTAGATTAAACAAGCCGATACGATATTCTACTTCTACAAATATTTAGATTGTCTCGCGCGCGCAAGCCCGAAGATCATTCGCGCGAAACAAACAATAAAACTGATTATAAATAAAGTATGTATTATGATTGTAGCTGTATACAGTGCGCAGAGATTCTCTTTCTCTCTCTTTCTCTCATGTTGCAGAATTGTTTCACCACAGTTACTATTGTTATCAAATATCGATATTGTAGGGAACGTTGATATTTTCAATCAGTAAAGTCGATTTCAGTAAATTCTCTCCAATAATATACATATGCATATTACATATGTCAAAACTGCAATAAAAACGTAAATAAATGTACATATATGCATAAAACAAATATTTTATTTATAATAATAAATTAATTTTGTAATGATATTCTTAATAAAAAATAAGTAGAACCTTCAAGTTTGGCGCGCATGCGCAGACGTCACGTCCGTTTCGCGCGTATCTCAACAAGGTGATCGCGTCGCGCTCGCTCCGTGATTTTCCCGCTTTTTACGTCGTCCAAAGCGAGTCTCGCGTCCGAACGAGTGTCAAAAGTGTTCAATTAGTACCGCGCGACCATTATTTTATATCGATTCGATGAATACAGCCGTGTGTCGCCGCGAATTGCGTTGCAAAGGCTCGTTGTAACCATTCGGACGAATCTCGCAGCCAAGAGATACATTGCGCACGCGCAGACGCCATGTTTGTTTCACGCCGAGTCTCGACAAGGTCGTCGGTCGCGCTCGCTCCGTCATGTTCTCGCTTTTTACGTCGCCCAAAGCGAGTCTCGCGTCCGAACGAGTGTCAAAAGTGTTCAGTTAGTACTGTGCGACTATTATTTCATATCAATTCGGCGAACACAGCCGGGTGTCGTTGGGAATCTCGTTGTAAACCCCGTCGTAACCTTCTCGAACGAATCTGGCGGCTGAGAAATCTACGGCGCACGCGCAGACGTCGTGTTTATTTCGCGCCACGACGAGACGGTAAGTCGTCGCGTTTCGCGAATCTCCGTTTCGCGAGTGACCATCAAGTGTCGAAACAGTCGTTGTCCGTGTATGATTCGTAATTTTATTTCAAGTGCTTCCGGCAAATGTACAAAATACCGGGTACCGGAAGTGCCGGGAGTGAAGTGCCGGATAACCTCTTCATTAGAAGCAGGGTAGTACCAGTGAACACCGCTAGATGGCAGGTGATGCGCTGATTGTGAGATGATAACAGAGCGACGACCGGATAATCATTTCTACGACGGGCGGTAAGTTTTGTTTCACGTGTTCTCTCTCTTACTGCATACTGCTCCGTTAAGGCGTCAAAAACGAAATACAATGATTTTTCAACTCTCGATATAAGAAAGCAGATACAGATTAAGTGATATAAAATTTTTAAAAAATTAAAGAAGCGTTAATATATTTAGTAACCAAGCAATCTCCGCGCAAAATAGAATTTTTGCAAGTCGTAATTATAAATTACAATACACAGCTCATACACTTAAAATTCGTTTCGGAAAAAAATAATCTTTTTCTCATTCTTTTATAAAGAAATGTATTAAATGAAAGATTAAATTGCCTGCATTTTTTTACAAAATTATTAAAACGCCCTCGTAAAAGATGTTGTTTATGCTAAAATTACTGGTAAACATACTGGCCGTCAGATCGTTCTTCATCGCACATTTTTACTCTTTCCCTCTCCTCTTCCCTTCTCCCTTTCACACGCTCAATTTCATCTCCCCCTCATCTCCTTCCCGGTCGTCAATTTTTTTTTCGCGTTTCCTACGCGAATTTATTATTTATAAAGCCGAAAGTACCTCGGGCGTGTTTCGTCCTTCGTAGCCGGCGGCTACGAGAGTGCTTATATCGCGGCTCTCTATTGCTCTCCTCGCGGCCGCGAGGATTGATCAGAGGGGTTGGACCGCGAGTAAAAACGTGCCCCGTGTATTAAATATCCTGCAATAACAGTAATTACGGTTACGGTATTTTATAAAATTGCGTATAGCTACTTCGCTACCGCGGCCGGGCAAAATAATGCACACGTGATCTTTATTGATGGCAAATATTACAATGTTATCCACTTCCGAAACGAATCGGTCAAGATTCGAGAGAATTCCTGAATTTCAAATATAACCGCGCAATATGCTTATTTTTATTATTTTTTTCTTCTCAATCGTAATCGCGATTTGATAAATAAATACGACTTCTAAAAATCGCTTCCGCTAAACATTGCTGCAATCTGCATATCTTCAATATATCGATATTCGATTTATATTTGAATATTAAGAAAACGTAAATTAAAATATAGACAATATCAATTTACAACTGTGTAGTTGCAAGCTACAATTATAAAATATCGTATTATTGTGTCTATTTTTTGCGATGCAATTATTTAAAATGTAAAATGCTTTACCCAACTGACAAAGCGATAAACGTTTTTTGCTCCCCGTAACGATAAGTCACTAACATTTCACTTATCGAGATAACATGGATTTTATTTACGCAACATGCCATATATATTGATTATTAAATGTATGCTTTATTTAGTGATGCTGATTAGATTAGTGTAAAAGGCTAGGATTATCTAAAGTGGGAACATCTGTTCGTAGTTTTTGACAATTGTCAGGTTCGTTATATTCCATATTCGCGATTAATTTTTATCTCGATTGTCGATGGATATATTTGTTTGTAGAAAAAATTCGAAAATTTCGTATGACGTTGCGTTAAAAGCACGATAAAGATATGCATTATTAATTATCAGAAGACATATTGATTTCGCGAGAAGATAATTCGTGAAATTTTGAATTAAAAGCAATTCAACGATATAATCGTGCTAAATTCTGAAATAAAACTTATTTTCAAGTTAGGCCTTATAATAACATATTTTTACTATTATTTCTTTCTTTTGTACATTTTTTGTGTGAAATTTGGCTAACGTTTTTAATTTCTTGAACTTAATTTCTTAAGAAAAAAGTATTATTAGTATAATATTCGAAGAGTATTATTATTATATATAAATTTGAAAGAAATCTTCTAAGAAATTAAATTGCCCTTTATTCACTCGCGATGTATTTTAATTGCACATTATAAAACCAATCGACTTCGTCATATAATATCGATTGACGGAAGATCGTAAATTCGTAACGGGTCTCAAAAGTCGTCTAAGCCAGATGTCGAGCGTTCGAAATAAAAAAAAAGGAAAAAAATACCAAAGCGTATTCGAGGAGAGAAAAAAGGAGAACCAAGACAGGGGGTGGCGGGGGAAAAGGATCGGTGAGAGGCGGTGTGTGCATGCGCTTAATCGATAATCACCGGCAAGTGGTTTCGTCCGAAAAGGGTGCGGTATACGATACATCTGCGAGGTATCATCAGCGCCGCGTACAAAAGGCCGATCCATCATCGGGCCCGACAATCCAAATTCAAAATTGGCCGGTCAGTTCCCAGCGGTCGCGCGTGCAATTACAATGAAGATTAAGAACAATCCAAACAATCTCCACGTCAGAGTAGCGTGGCAATTCGAAGACACGAAAACGTCTTAAGATGAAAAGCGTCTCGTTCCTCGTATCGGTTTCTCCTATACTTCGCGAGCCGGTTTCGATTTAATTTTTTTTTATTTATTTCTATTATCATAGAAGAGAGTATAAAGCCTGTAGCGTGCAACGAGAGATGCCGTGTCGTAATATCGCCTTATTCCTACAGTGGTGCACGCGATTTTCTGCTTACGCGCCCGGTCGCTGAAATATCAATGTAAGCTGTTCATTGAGCGCGCGGTATGTCAGATTGTCCGTTTCTGATAGAAGAATAGCCTTCGCGATTCGAGCATAATAATAGGTATAGTTCCAACACAACGTGTTTCAACATCTCGTTGGACTTTAGGATTAATAAGATTTCCATGAGAACCAATGACGCTTTTTCCCCGCACGTTATAATTACGAACGATTTGAAAATTTCGTCGCACTTTAATAATTCAATCGCGAATATTATCATGGTGGACATTAGATAGATTATAGGTATTACTAGTATATTAAAAACATTTAAATTTATGTTACATAGTTTCTTCTATAAATATAATAACACAGAGAATTTCCTCTAAGAATTTTTCCTGAAAATTATGATAATCGTGGGACAATATGGTATTGGAAGAATTTTATAAGAGTTTCTCTGATTAATATTAAAAAATATTAATATCTATCACAATAAGATATAAAATATATTTATATCAAAATATATGTTATATCTTATTTTGATATAAATATATTTTATATCTTATTGTGATAGATATTAATACTTTTAAATATTAATCAAAGAAATTCTTATAAAATTCTTCCAGTACAGCATATTGTCCCACGATTACCACGATTTTCAAGATAAAATCTAAGAGAAAATTCTCTTTGTGTAGCATTTAAAATTCGCGTTATTGTCTTCGGTGTTAAATGTCACATATAGTACAGCTTAGAAATAATTTTCCCCGGGCTCTTCTATAAGCTATGCTCGATTAATATAAAGAAGAGGACGATGATCTTTTTTTTTCATTATGTGAGAGCGCGAAAACGGTGCGGAAAGAGAGAAAGAGAGAAAAAGAGAGAGAGGTGGGAAAGGATTACGGTGCGTCAACGGCGATGACTGAACGAGCCGTAATCGCTGTGCCGATCTAATATTTCGAATAGTTCGCATTTACAATGGGCTTTATTGGCGGGAAAACTGTGAGGGGGTATTTTGAGCAGGCGGGACATCCATCACGGGGTGTCAACGCGATTGTCTTCCGCGGCGTTTGCCACGGGAAAGTATTGACGTCCGGCTCGCGCAACCGCCGAAAATGCCGCTCGCGCGCCATCGTCGCACGGGGAATGGATAAATGTCGTTAAAGTAATTAAAATCGGTTGCCGGTTGTACCGCGATCTCTCGAATAACGACCGAGTTTCCCCCGGTGGTCGCACGGGGATGCGGACGCGATCGATTCGCGCGGGAGAATGACGCGTCAGGAAACGCGATGGACAGTATTACTTCGGCCAACGAATTTATCCGGACGACACGGCGCCCGGCTTCGCCATTGTGTCGTATTTAAATGAGCTTTCTAATGTATTTAGCTTGAATACCGCGTGTGGCGAAAACTATACTGCCCCGTATATGTATATGTATGTGTATGTGTCGCAGAGACGCGTTTTGCCACCGTCAATA